ATATTGGTGCCTTTTCATGATATCTAAAAGCAAACAATACCACCAGGACAACATTGATGATTTTTATGTTGTTTCTAATGCCTAAAACCAGTGCTGCAAGGTAGGTGTCAGCAAGCAGCCAGAGAAAAAACTGTTTTTTTTAACAATGTGCACATCATATTTTCACAATAAATGATACATTTAACCTTCAAAAGTCAGCAGGATAAGACTTTTGACAATAGTTCATTACTACTAAAACTTGGAGAACAATAGATGAAACACGAAGAGAGTTCCCTGCAGAAACTTTAAAAGAGTGTTTGCTGTATTACTGTGGATTAAAACGGCACAATCCTAACCTTGTACAATGACATGCTGTCTTTTCTTTTTTTTTTTTTTTTTAATAGTTATCACACTGAAACAAAAAAAAAAACAAAAAAAACTGGAGCTCAGATTAATCCCAAAACACAAAATTAAAGTAACAAAAGTAGATCATAACTTTTAAGAGTTTTAAGTATTTGGAGCAAAAGCATGTAGAGTTTTGCCTCCTGAAAATCAATCAATCATTATCTCATAAATCAAAGAGTGCTTTGTCCCAGAAAGACTGAAAAAGATGTAAAATGAAAATTACAACAGCTTCCTAGTATGTAAGTTGGCTTTCGCAACCTGATTGTAAACTTTTTATCATAAATTGGCTTCCCAGTAAACCTGAGATCTATCTTCTTTTTTTTTTTTTTTTTTTTTTTTGGGGGGGGGGTGAAATGTAAGTTATGCCTTAATTTTTTTCCTTTCCTGTCCTTTTAAGACAATCTTTAAATATTTCTGTTTGGCCTGAAATGAAAGTGTAACATTTGGGGACATTGTGATGCACTGAGAGCAATGTTTTTGAAAGTGCATTGACACTGTTGGATCATTTGATCATTTACTCTCAACAAACCCAGAAGTCATCATCCTCACAAAGATAGTCATTTGTTTTACAGCCTGTAAAAAAAAAAACAACTTGAAGACCGTACAACTGACTGGTTCAAAATACTAATGTCTATGAAATTACATAGAGTGCAGAGGTTTCAATCAACACTCATCAAAAAGCAACCACAAAGCCTAATGGCAGTTTCAGTAGCAGCAGAAAAGTTCAAGATCAGAAAATTGAGGCTACAAAGAAGCAAATCATCCTCTGCAGACGGCAACTTAGAAAGTGAAACCTCCTCTGTCACCCAAACCCCAGGGACTCAATAATTATCCACTTCTTTGTGCAAATCCGCAACTCAACCCTCCTAATACTTAACCAATCAGATTTCCAAATTAACCAGATTCTGAGTTATCCCGGGAAGATCAGATAAAAATGCCACAAAGAGAAAGTGTTTTCTTTTTTTCATTGTTGTTGTTTACTTACAGATTTTCTTATGCCACTTTCTAGACCTAAAAGCACTAAAAGAGCATGGATTGCATGATCTATTAGATAGCAGAGATACCAGTGCATAAAGGTATCAATACCAAAGCGTCCTTGTTTTCAACTAGGATAGATCGTGCAGAGCAAAGGCAAATTTTAAAAGATATTGGCATGTGACACATCTGCAAACACAAGCACTTGATACCTCCAAATATGTTACCAAAACTGCCAAAATTCTGTGTGGTCCACACATTTGCTTATTTGTGAGTTAAAGCTGATTCATTCCAAGTTAAAATACAATTTTCTTTGGTTCTGGGTAAAACCTACCACTGAGCTACATGAAAATCGTGCAACAAGTCCTCCGTAATCTCTCTGCAAACAGAAATATGAAACACAATTATAAAATCTATTTGGGTGGTAAAGCCACAGTTCTCTTAAATCATTCTTAAACCAGTATACAAAGACAATTGGCAAAAAAAATCCCATAGTCTACAATTCGCAAAGTCATGATACCGCACCATTTTGCTGAGAGACATCTATGAGTGGTCAGAAACCGACAGAATATGATTAAAATTAAAGAAAAATTCAAAGAACATTTTAAATTTAAAATTAAGTTAATAATTCAGGTGAATTATTAACTTGTCACTTCATTAAAAACATATTTTCCCTGCCGCGCATCACAATTCATATCACTGTGTGAAACAAATAAGCTAATGTCATTCCTGCATGGGACAGGAGGTGGGAAAAGTGTCATACCGATTTCTCTGCCTGTCTTTGATGAGCTCACAGAGCCGGGGTCATCTGGAAGCCATTTCTACTTGTGCTTTCTCCCTCGTCTCATTTTAATCTCTCAGTGCAGCCCCACACCTCCCCTTTGCTTACCCCCCCGCCCCCCGCTCCCCGGGGAAGCCGGAGTTCAGTGACCGAGCTCCGCGCACGCCAGGCCGGCATGGCACGCAAGCTCATCCCCGCTCCTCTCCCCTAGCACGCAAAAACTCTACGGGATTAGAAACAAATATCCCTTTACTGTACATAATACATGGCTTCTGTCCTGGGTGCCACATTAAGTGAAGATCTATCACGCAGCCTGAACACGGGGAAGAGGGAAACTGTCCAGCCTTGAGGAAAAGTTGCAGAACAATAAAAACAGTGTTGTGCTAATAATTTACTCTTAATAATATATCATCTTTGTTTGCAGTGTCTTTATTTTATGAGCTGAACTTTCTTTTATAGTTGAGGTATTTTCATGGGCATTATGTTGCCACATGTCAGTCCCATAGTTTTGTTCTTTAGATTTTCTTTGAGAGGGCATTTAAGGACAGCTTTCTTTCTCCAGGCATCTCAAAGAAAGGATTGTGCAAAAAGAACATTTCATATTAACTTTACAACTTTCCTGGAATCCCCAAAGGACTTTTTTGAAGAGTCTCTTGATACCAAGTAGCTATGAAGAGTAGAAGATGTAAAATGTGGGTGGTCATTGAACTACTGAAAAGTCTAGCATTGAAAGTGCTGCTTTATTCAGCTAAAAATCCACATGAAAGCAAATTATGTGTAAGAAAGTATGATGCTGAAAAGTCAAACTTTTGGGAATGGTTTGAATCCTTAATTTCTTGATTTGACCAAGGACCTGAAATCACAGCAGAAAAGCATTTTCCATAAAACAGTATGCTGTTTTTCCATAAACAGCCATTTTACTAGCCACCAAACATCTTTTTAGCTTTGCCTAATTTCTTTAGCAGAGAGATCAAACACAACTCACCCACTCTCATCCAGCAGCCCCCTTTTTGTGGGGGAGCCCAGACAAGTCAGTCACCGAGTGCAGCAGATCATTTCCATGAAGTGATAATCATCATAATAATCATTTAGCACTGCAGACGCAGTAGGTCTTCTGCCTTAGCGTCTCGGCCTGATTGCATTTTCATGAAGCAATGATCATAAATGTTCTACCTTGAGCTGCAAACTCCGCTGCACTCAGAGATCAACTGTTATCAGTTAATGCCTTGTTACCACTTCCACTTTCTGTGGAGGTGAGTCAGCTGAAAATCCATGCTGTGGATTTTGGGGGAGACTATAAGACTTACAGGTCATGTACTTTGGTTCAGTTGCCTTTTTGATCATTAAGTGAGACTGTAGGATTTCAAAAAAGACGAGGCTTTATTGAGGCTCTTCTCCCCAATCCCAACAATTCAGGAGGTTAAAAAAGCCCTGCGTTTTCAGATTACTTAGCATTGTGTGGAATTTAATAGTAAGTTTTTAAACACTGATCAATGTTATAGATTAGAAAATCTCAATCACAAATGTCAAGGATAATTGACTGGATAATAGGCTCTATGGTTTCTATCCATTTGTAAAGAAACACACTTCCTTGCATTGTACAGAGGTATCATTTCTTTCTTCAGGATGCTATGAACATCACGCTCATATGTAAGTGGAGACCAGGAATAAACAGCTTTGAATGAAAAAAGGAAGACTGAGTGACAGAGCCAAATTAGCCCTCAAAAGTTAAAGGGCACACACTGTGTTCATTTAAGGGGTTGCTGCTAGGGATTTAGGGCCCCATAGAAAGTATTAAAGTGGGACCCACCACTTTCCAATAGTATTCTAATGTTTTTTTTTAATTTATTTATTTATTTTTATTATTATTAGTATTATTAGTATTATAATGATAACACACTGTCAGGGGCCCCCAGATTCATCCTAATTTATATCCCCTATATGCAGTATACAGTACATTCAAGCAATGGTGGTTCAATTGCCACCTTTCAGCCATCGCCCACAATCTAATTTCTACTATTCAGCGTCCTGTCCTCTCAATGAACTCGGACAAAGGCCAAATATCAATCTAAAGAAAAGAGGATGAAATTGAATGAAAAATACCAAAGACTGGAGATCAGGAGACCAAACGAAGGGCCGCAAGTGGAATCATCAGTTTTTCAAATACATTTTATCCCCTCATTCGCTAAATAAGTCTATAAACTCAATGAAAGCCGTCCATTTGGTATCTTCCCACTGGACTGAAATGTGCCTATGTATGTCTTTTCTCAGGCTTCTAACACACAAACAACACTCAGATCAGACAGTGACGGTTTTCCAAGAGTCTCTCTTTCTTTGTGGCCTGGCAAGCGAAACGCTCTCATTTTAAACATCACCATCTCTAACTATCAGTGTCCGGTGGTTACCTCCTGGCTGCCCAAGATGGCAATGGCTCTGAGGATGTTTGTGTTGGTGTTTTAACTGCTTTGTTTGGTCTTTTCTGGCCGCAGCTTTTCCAGGCTTGAACGCACCTTTGTTCCAGTTAAAAAAAAAATCTTCTCACAAATCCCTTCCTTTTTTGCTCTATTTCCCCCCCCCCAAATCCCACCAGCTCCCCAACTGCCTGTTGGACCCCTGGCTTTCCTCTCACTGCTGCTTCCCCCACTTCCTCCCCCAACACCCCAACATCCCCCACCCCCCCCCCACTACTGCCCCCCAGTACCTCCCTCCCTTCTTCCTTCCTCCCTGTTGGTGCTGTGCGTGACAGTAGCTCACTGAAAAGTGGAAATGAGACTAGTAAACAATGATTAGCTCCAGAGCTCAGCCAGCCTGGTCTACCATTGGTCCTGTCTCCACACAGTGAGCGCCCACCCGCCGGCACATGACAAGCAGTGGAATACAAAGACCCCCGCCTCCATCCCCCCTCCGACTACCTCCCCCCTTCTTCTCAGCCAGAGTCATCGCAGGGTCAGGGCCAACCTTTCACAGCCAGGTTACAAGGGGTAATCACAGGCAAACACAGCAGCCACACGCAAAACGCACACACGACACCCCCCTCCATCCCCTTCAACCCGGGCCTCCATCCTCTCCCACACACATACACACAAACTACTACCCCACCACCACCACCCAACAGCCCCCTTCCTCCACCGCAAACCTGGCTCTGATTAGCGTGATGGGGATGCGAGTGGCCACATGTGTACAAGGAGCAGACCCAGGCAAGGAGGAGAAGAAGGAGGAGGTGGTGGCTGTGGAGGTGGAGGGGTGGTAGGATTCCTCCTATAGGAATAAAAGAGAGAATAAACAGTCATCCCCAGTGCAAGCAGTGTATTCGAAGACATTGCTATGTCTCTGGTTAACCAAGAAATCATTCTGGAGGCTTTGGTACTCGGCCACACCGCATTTCTCAAGACAAACAGCTCTCAGGCAGAGCACAACTCCCGCCGTGTGTTAAAGGCTGTTTAAGGACCTTTATTGTGAAGGAATTATACAAGACACATAATGTTGTTACACTTAGGTTTCTTTAAGAGTTTTATTTGTTTTCATTTCTTGAAAGATTGCTATGTGTTATTATGGTTGAACTAGGGAATTCTAACTTAAGCAAAAAATTTTAAAAAATTTGCCATTTGTATGGATGCAGTGTTGTGCTTTACAAATGAAATGTGAGTTTATTTTTTTATTATTTAACCAGGAATGCCTCACTGAGATTTAAAAATCTCCTTTACAAGTGTCCTGGCCGAGACAGCAGTAGCACGTTCCAACAAAGTTACAGACATACAAACACACCATTTAAAGCAGAACTTAAACGTTTTGACTTTCTATAACAGACCAATTTTCTGCCTGAATTGTATTCAGCATTTGCATGTATAGAGGTTAAAGTTCAAATGGACAAACAAGAGCCAATTATAAAAGCCTGCATATTCGATTTTGGAAACTTATTACTAAGAGGTCCACTTCAAATCTTTTTCAGGTTTTACCATCATCCTCCCCCCTTCCTCATCCCTCGTCCCTTTCCAGTCCCACTGACAACAGCCAACTGTGCCTGTGTGGTAATGAAGCTTCTGTCCCTCTGACTTAGTGCCTTACTTTGGAAATGTTTTAGTACCTTCAATTGGGGTCATTACCTCCCCTCCAAAAATAAACCACACAGCTGGTGGGAAAACAAGAAACTAAATTCATCCTCTGAAAATAGAAGGTAGCAGTTTTACCATGTCATGTTTCCATTTATCTAATCAGGATGATCTGAAGGATAACATAGAGATAACAATAGAGATCTATCTATCTATCATGACAGAGTAAGTGATTTTTAATACATGTTGCTTTTGTCCTATGCATGGTACTTTTTAAAAAATATCTTCATATTTCTGGGAAGAGTGACTTAAGAATCAGAGTTGAGAGAAAGAGGAGATGAGGTAAGGGGGGCACCTGAAGTTGTGCAATGATGTAACCCAGTGTCATGCTGCAGTTTCTGTGTTAGATGGGGGGAGGAGGGGAAGTCAGAGCAAATTCAAATATCAATATTTGATGATTTCTCCACACTGAGTTATTGTGCTGGGTTTGTCTTGAGAGATTTCAGTAAACTTTTTTTTCTGTGACACACTTTTCACCTCAGTATCTGTACTGAGGTGAAAAGTGAAAGAAAGAAAGAAAGAAAGAAAGAAAGAAAGAAAGAAAGAAAAAGAACATTTTGTATATTATTATAGGTATTAAGGATCCTTTCTCATATATGCTTTTATATCTGTGGTCTCATTTTCTTCTGAAGGCATGTGTGAACTAGAAGTTGTTATTTAACGGTGGTCGGTGCTTTAAAACTGTTAAGTTTTTTTTTTAAATAAAACATTTCTTTTGTAAACAAAGAGGAAGAGGAGATGGGGTAAGGGGGGCACCTGAAGTTGTGCAATGATGTAACCCAGTGTCATGCTGCAGTTTCTGTGTTAGATGGGGGGAGGAGGGGAAGTCAGAGCAAATTCTAATATCAATATTTGATGATTTCTCCACACTGAGTTATTGTGTGGGGTTTGTCTTGAGAGATTTCAGTAAACTTTTTTATGTCACTGCCAGATACTGAGGTGAAAAGTGTGTCACAGAAAAAAAGTAAGAAAGAAAGAAAGAAAGAAAGAAAATTTTGTATATTACTATACTTATATATACTTTTATGCTTTTATATCTGTGGTCTCATTTTCTTCTGAAGGCATGTGTGAACTAGAAGTTGTTATTTAATAGTGGTCGGTGTTTTAAATTTTTTTTTAAATAAAACATTTCTTTTGTAAATAAAGTATCGACGCAAAAAGTCATTCACATCCACTCGAATACGCGGTCGTCTTTACTGTAGGTGCGCAACTTTTTCCTCCGCTTTCACAAGCTCTGGTCACTTTTATTGACGAGTTATTTGTATTTTCTTATGATTTACTATAAAGATTCTGTGGGATGTAACAAAAAGACTTGGTAAATAAAAAAACTGGCTTCGTATTGAATGACATAATAACTTTTACAATAAATTACGCACAACGCATGAGCATGCAAGGTTTGAGACAGACCAGCAGAAACGCTATAAACTGAAAACATCGCGTACATATAACACAAATTAGTTTCGAGTTTGTAGAATTTAAATAAAAGATTAACTCCGTCTAGAGTTTGACAAACCGTTACCAAACACTCTTTTCAAGTCAAATTGCGCACGACGACTCCTCTGCAGCACCAAGTTAAACCATGACAAAAAGAAACACTTTAAAACGTGCAAACTCTGCCAGTCCTCCAATTAGTAAAGCAAATTAGCTCGACACGTTTCCCTCTGGTTCGGTCACCAGTTGCTGAGTCTTTTTCACAGCAGCGGACGATGCGTTCACGCTGCACGCTCACGGTGTCCCGGGACTCACACAAGCGCGCGCCTCCAACAGCGAGCGACAACAGAGAGATGTAATAGTGGGGTCTACAGGGCTACCACAATGGGAGGAGTAAGAAAGTTACCCTGAGCCCTGCCCACCTACTGCAAAACATATAAGACGCTGGAGTGAGGCAAAAAAGCAGGCATTTAAGCCTTCAATCTTGATGAAAAGACAAAAACTTCTAACTACTTTCTTAATTCCATGATCTAAGTCTTTTTTCATTATGGCTTCATTGGCAGTTAATTGACACCTCTTAAGTATTTCTTTCATCTGTTATGGATGAACAAGAACTTAATTGATATTTTTCATTCTCATCATCTAAAAGCTACATAAACTTTGTCGAAAAGTGAGGATTTTTTTTTTCTTTTTTGGGAAAAGTTGGTAGAAATTAAGACACAATGGCACTGGACTCTGACTTTGGTGTGAAGAGCAGCAGCATCATCAGGGAATGGAGTGGACAGGTTCAGCCCGCTCTGGTCGCCTCTTTTGTTTTCCTCTTCTGTCTGGAAGCCTGTCTGTGGGTCAGGAACCTCAGACTCAAGAGGAGACTGCCAGGACCCTTTGCCTGGCCGGTGGTGGGCAACGCCATGCAGCTAGGCCAGATGCCCCACATCACCTTCGCCAAGCTGGCCAAAAAGTATGGAAACGTGTACCAGATACGGCTGGGCTGCAGTGACATTGTAGTTCTGAATGGGGACAGAGCGATACGTCAGGCTTTGATACAGCACAGCACTGTGTTTGCAGGCAGACCAAACTTTGTCTCTTTCCAGATGATCTCTGGAGGCAGAAGTATGAGTTTTACCAGTTACAGCAAACAGTGGAAAGCACACAAAAAAATAGCTCAGTCCAGCCTCAGAGCCTTCTCCTCTGCAAACAGTCAGACTAAAAAAGCCTTTGAGCAGCACATAACAGCAGAGGCCATGGAGCTGGTGCAGATATTTCTACGCCACAGCAATGATGGACGATTTTTTAACCCTGCTCATGAATTCACAGTAGCTGCTGCTAACATCCTGTGTGCTCTGTGTTTTGGGAGGCGATACGGACATGAGGACCTGGAGTTTAGGAACCTTCTGAAAAAGTTGGACAAGTTTGGAGAGACAGTGGGGGCAGGTAGTCTTGTAGATGTGATGCCCTGGCTTCAGTCCTTCCCTAACCCAGTCCGCAGCGTCTACGAGAACTTCAAGAGCCTCAATGAGGAGTTCTTCACCTTTGTCAAAGATAAAGTGATTCAGCACAGGGAGTCCTTTGACCCCGAGGTGACCCGGGACATGAGTGACGCCATCATCAACGTGATCGAGCATGGAAAGGACAGCGGGCTGAGCAAAGAGTTTGTCGAAGCAACGGTCACAGATCTGATCGGAGCAGGTCAAGACACAGTGTCAACTGTCATGGAGTGGATCCTCCTGCTGCTGGTCAAATACCCGGACATGCAAGCCAAACTGCATGAGCTCATAGACAAAGTGGTCGGCCAAGACAGACTGCCAACAACAGACGATAGATGCAACCTCGAATACCTGGATGCCTTCATCTACGAAACCATGCGCTTCACCAGCTTCGTGCCAGTCACCATCCCACACTCCACCACCTCTGATGTCACTATTGAAGGTCTCCACATCCCCAAAGACACAGTGGTCTTTATCAACCAGTGGTCAGTTAATCATGACCCTCTGAAGTGGAAGGACCCTCATATCTTTGACCCAACACGCTTCCTTGATGAAAATGGGGCCCTGGATAAGGACATAACCAACAATGTGATGATCTTTTCAACGGGTAAGAGACGCTGTATCGGCGATCAAGTCGCCAAGGTGGAAGTGTTTTTATTCACAGCCACCCTGCTACACCAGTGTAGCTTTGAGAGCAGCCCCTCTGAGCCCCCCTCTTTAGACTGCTCCTACGGGCTCACACTGAAGCCGCTCCGGTTCTGTGTCAGTGCCAAGCTGAGGGGGAAGCTCCTTGGATTAGTTTCCCCGGCATGAACAGCATGTCCCAATACTGTGACTCAAGGCCAGCAAACACTTTTCCACCAATGACATTTGACAGTGAGTATCAAAATCTTACTGTTGGAAGGTTTTCATATTTAATAATGATATTTAATGCATATCTTAACACAGACTGTATTTGAAGTTCCGTTTAGGTCATGATTTAAAGATGTAATGTTTGCTACAGGTTGAATTTAAGGTCTTTGGCTGTGGGGATAAACTTCTGCTTCACAAGATACTGTATACTTGATGAGACTTTGTATATTAGTCATGTGCTTGTTTCACATCCACTATTGTGTATGTACATGTATTATGTGTATGCAGGAATTAGCTACTTTCCTTACATGTCAATTCAAACTAATATAACTGTATATGAAATGTTTGTGAATGTTACAGAGTCTGTCAATGATGTATTGGTCTTTATTGTAATATGTACGATTATTTAACCATTGCCACCTAAAGCAGTTACATTTCTGTATTTCATATTTCAGGTATGACAATAAATGTTATATTTTTAATGTATTTCACTATCTACTGTACACAAAGTATCTAAACACATGAAGTTAAGAAGTGGCGTGTTTGTGGAAGAGGGAGTCTTTAGTCAAAGGACATCCATCGCACTCTGACAGATGAAGAAAAGACACTGCTATGAACCTTGAAAAAACTTCACAGACTTGATGCACCCAGGGTTCAGTTTTACTGTACAAGCACTGCAGCTATACAAAGCCAAACACACACGTCGTAACAGTATAGACAGACACACACATGTGAAGCAAATTTCCTCCACTCATTCTCAAAAACATGTTTGTTTACAATGTCACTTTCTCAAAGCTATATGGATGTTAGTGCGCTTTCTTTAAAGTGTCATTGTTAAGGAATTGATGTCACAATGCCTGGAGGATGTGTTTCTCTCTGTCTCAAGGCAGCAAATGCAACTCCTAAGGCCTTGAATGTTATTTATCCATGTGTTGGCTTTATATGATGGGAAAATAAGCTACAACTGAAATAAATAAAGTGGTGATTCCACAATGATGAATGTCTCCTGTGAGTTGTTGGTCTAGGCTTTGACTATAATCTGAAAACACTCATTCAAACCTGCCATGCTACAAGTACAATATGGACTGTGATTGTGAGCTACTTTAAAGGCTAAACGCATGTGCTAGTATTAAAAATCTGCCAGCAATGTGTTATTAAGCTCCACCATTGTATGTCTGTCATTACTCTTAACAGAAATAGAAACTTCTAAACAGCTCGCCTTGTGGCTGAATATCACTAAAACCAAAGCTGATGTTTTTTTAAGTTCCTCCTTTTGTTGCACAAGCACCCACATGAGCTGATTTATCACTGAAATCCTCTCATCTGAAATCTGTTTAAAACTATTTTGATGCAGCAGCCGCAACCCTAACAGCTACATTATCTCAGTGACCTTTGTTTAAAAGGCTATTATGCCTACAATAACATTGTATGTACATTTTATGGAGCATTATAAATTGTTCACTTTGTGCCTGTTCAGAGTTTGGAGCTGGAACCTGCAGTTTCATGGTGATATCCCAGAGCCTTTTTCCCCTGCATGGTTATAATTAGCAGTTTGGCTGTAAATAACAGAAATCAAATCATGTTTAGAGTGGCCACGGAAAGTCCATAGGAAAGTGCATACGGCAAAGTCATCAAACCTCAGGGGGAAACACAAACAACTCCAGATTATTGTCCATTACGTGCGCTATAAGCTACCACACAGTACAGACATCCACCCCTTTCCATCACATTGCTGAAGTCCATCTCTGTCCAGCATGAACACATTTGGACAATCTTTCGCTCAAAATGAGCTTTCAGGCCACAAACGACATCAAGTTGTGTATATTCTTAAAGTTTTATGGTGATATCTGTGATATTCTTTGGCTAAAAACCATAAATCTGTACTTTTTGGCAACAAGGCCTATTAAGTAGCTGCTTTTCCCTTTCCCTCATCCTTGTAAGGACACTGCTGGCAGGAGGCCAGAGTGGGAGTAGGACTAAGGTCTACAGGCTGTGGTCAGTGGGAGGAGACAGATAATAAAAAACCTGAGTCGCTGACCCCCCCCTAACCATAGAGATACATATAAGCGAAGTGTTAAGGCTTGAACCTGATCGGGGCTTTCTCACTCGCTTCTGTGCAGGAGGGTTGAGACAGCATGTGAGAGCAACTCTCAGTCTCTATCAGAAATTATCAAGATTTTGTTTTTAGTGCACTGTACTAAGAAGAGTAACTTGAAATGGATTACTTTTTTGTGTAAAAACAACTTTTTTGCTCTAAGTGGAAAAGAAACAAACTACAGGATAACGCAATGGCTCAGATAAGTCCAGATTTTGGTGTGAAGAGCAGCAGCATCATCAGGGAATGGAGTGGACAGGTTCAGCCCACTCTGGTCGCCTCTTTTGTTTTCCTCTTCTGTCTGGAAGCCTGTCTGTGGGTAAGGAACCTCAGACTCAAGAGGAGACTACCAGGACCCTTTGCCTGGCCGGTGGTGGGCAACGCCATGCAGCTAGGCCAGATGCCCCACATCACTTTCGCCAAGCTGGCCAAAAAGTATGGAAACGTGTACCAGATACGGCTGGGCTGCAGTGACATTGTAGTTCTGAATGGGGACAGAGCGATACGTCAGGCTTTGATACAGCACAGCACTGAGTTTGCAGGCAGACCAAACTTTGTCTCTTTTCAGGCTGTTGCTGGGGGGAAAAGTATGACTTTCACCAATTACAGCAAACAGTGGAAGATGCACAGGAAAATTGCTCAATCAACGATCAGAGCCTTCTCATCAGCCAATAGCCAAACCAAAAAAGCCTTTGAGCAGCAAATTGTGGCTGAAGCCACAGAGTTAGTTGAGATTTTCCTGAAACTCAGTGCTCGGGGCCAACTTTTTAACCCTGCTCATGAGCTGACAGTAGCTGCAGCTAATGTGATTTGTGCCTTGTGCTTTGGAAAGCGCTATGGACATGATGATGTTGAGTTCAGAGCCTTGTTGCAGAGGGTAGATGAATTTGGACAAACAGTCGGGGCCGGCAGCTTGGTAGATGTGATGCCTTGGCTTCAGTCTTTTCCTAATCCGGTCCGCAGTATGTTTGAGAACTTTAAGGACCTGAACCGAGAGTTCTTTGGATTTATCCAGAACAAAGTGGCTAAGCACAGAGAGACATTTAATCCAGAGGTTACCAGAGATATGAGTGATGCCATTATTGGTGTGATTGATAAGTCTGACCGTGATAATGGACTCACCAAAGCTCACACAGAGGCCACAGTGGCTGATCTGATTGGAGCAGGCCTGGATACCATCTCCACTGCTCTTCACTGGATCGTCCTACTGCTGGCAAAACACCCGGACATACAAACCATACTCCATGAGCTCATTGATAAGGTTGTAGGAAGAGAGAGGCTCCCGTCAACAGAGGACCGAAGTCACCTAACCCTCCTGGATGCCTTCATCTACGAAACCATGCGCTTCACCAGCTTCGTCCCAGTCACCATCCCTCACTCCACAACTTCAGACGTAACCATTGAGGGTCTACACATCCCCAAAGACACAGTGGTCTTCATCAATCAGTGGTCAATCAATCATGACCCCCTTAAATGGAAGGATCCACACATCTTTAACCCCTCACGCTTCCTGGATGAAAACGGCTCCCTTGACAAAGATCTCACCAATAACGTGATGATCTTCTCAGCCGGGAAAAGAAGATGTATTGGGGACCAGATCGCCAAAGTTGAGATGTTCCTGTTCGTTGCGGTTCTCCTTCACCAATGTAATTTTGAGAAATGTCCCGAAGACAATCTGTCTTTAGACTGCACCTATGGTCTGACACTGAAGCCTTTAGATTACAAGATCACTGCCAAACTCAGGGGAGAGTTGCTTACAGCCCAGTAATTTACTGGTGGGAAGAATGGGTCGTAAAATAAATGACCGGCTGTGCCAAAAAAAGGTATGTGTCTGAATATAAATGTAACTTTACCCTGCAGTTCTTAAAAAAACTCTAAGTCAGAAACCAAAGTATATCTGTGCTGACTCTGCTGCATCATGTAAAAAGTAAAAACTTCAATGAAAGCTTTGATATTCTTGCCCAAAGCCACAATTCATAATAACCCTGAAGTATGTATTGTTATTTATGCGAGGGTATTTAGCCGAGTCACCCTAAATTGCAAAATAAACGGTGGTGAATAAAATTTCACTAAAGCATTTTGCTCCTTTCTTCACTGATGGGGGGAAATCATGTGCCAGCTGTGTGGTCTCAACCAAATCCACAGTTCAGTTATTCACCCAAACTTTCCTAGATCCTCATGTCTGTTGGACTTTTTCATATTTGAGTTGAAGTCAATGCAATGTGCAGCTCTTTATATATATTTTTGCTCTTAAATAATACTCAACAGTTATATTCTGATAAAAACTCACTTCATATTTGTCCAAAAGCCGCTCATTTAATCACTGTTTCTTTTTCCTGATTTCCAAAAAGGATATTGAACTCTAGAGATAATGTCGTAAACATGACTCAGTGTGATGGGGAAGTTTTGTCTACTGTGTGACGAAAGCTTTGGATGTACAATAAACATTTTGTAATGATCTGTAGCTCTATCTGTGTCATGTAGTAGTCACACTGACCAAACTGTTGAGGCTCACAGAAACCAGTCAGGTCAAAGAGACAGTAACAGATCCCCATGTCTGGTCTGAGAGTTGTTGTAAAATATCATTGGCCCTGTATGGTCTTTTTTTCACCCATTACAAGCAAGCTGTGACACATAACATGGGCATAGGCATCAGTAAGCAGCCACAAGGTTCACACTCGTCAATATTTAACACAGAGCGCGCTGTTCCTTTGGCTGCTGTGTCATTATTTTATAAAAGAACACATTTATCGATGTCAGCCAAGTCTGAGCTGCCCCTCCTTTTGGCCTTTCAGTCCTGTAAATACCATCCTCTTCAAACACCAAAGACTCCATCTATAATACAATTCTTTTTGGGTGGTATTTATGTTTGGTAGAGGGGACGTTTTTACGATTTGAAAAACGACATGAGGTGAGGTGAGGTTAGAGCACTAAACATCCAATATTTTCATATTCATAGAGCAGTTGATGTTTTTAAGAAGAGGTTCAAGACTCACCTTTTTAACCAGGCTTTTCATTAATTGCTTTTTTATATTTCTCTTACTGCAAATGTTCATTTTAATCAAAGTTCTGAATGTTTCTTTTATGTCACTTTATTAGTTATTGTTCTTAGTCGTTTTCTTAATTCCCATCATAAAGGTTTTTACTCCTTTTACCCCTTTTACATGGTATAGAGCTCTTACTTATCTCTTGATTTGATATTATTTTCTTGTTTTAGTCCATCAGGTGTTACTCTTTCTTTTTACCATTTTCATTTTATCTCCAGTGTTTCCCAAAGGTAGCTCTTTCCTCATGTAATGTCTCGGTGTCATGCCATGTCTCCTTAACAATATATCTTAAATTCTCACTTTGTGTGCGCTTGTGTTTGTTTAGGTGTGGGCGGGTGTGTGTCTGTGTGTGTGGGTCCACGGGTGTGTGTGTGGGTGGGAGGGTTGGGTTTTATTGTTGTTTTTAGCCTCTGTGAGGCACTTGAACTATATCTTTTTGTCTGAAAAGTGCATTACAAATAAAGGTGAATTTGAATGTGAATTAGAACTTTATTTTTCTACTTTTTCCATGGGAGACACCAGATAAAAACATCCTAAAATGTTAGCTACTGAGCTTTTAGATCATTCAAACGTGTAATAAACAAATGTTAGCAAGTGTGTTTGTCTAAGTTTAAATTTCTCATTAAACTTAAAGCTCCTATGAGTTTTTTTTTTTCTTTTATGTACTACACTGAAAAATATACTGATGCTTTTTCATGATACCTAAAAGCAAACAAGACCATCAGCAACATTACTGGTCATTTTCATATCTTGATTTTTAATGCCTGAAACCATTGAAGTGGGTTAGGTGTAGAAACAGGCCTGTTTTGTACAATTTTTACACTAACTATTCACAGTAAATGATACACTTGAGTTAAACGTCAGCAGGATGAGTTTTTTTTGTTTTGTTTGTTTGTCATAAATCACCACCTCAGTATGAAGGAGACAAGACTAACGATGACTGCTTTGTCCACAAGAAATGCCAAAATTGATTCAAACCCAAAGTTCCTTACAGGAGCTTTAATTTTAAGTCACATCAATAAAGTAAGTAAAGATAAATATCTTATATCAAGACATTACAAGCAAATCTTTGAAGATAATATAATTCTGTAGAAAAAAAGGGGTGTTCAGGGCAGGATTCTGGTTTAAGTCTTGCTGATACTTTTATGAATTAATTAGCATTTTCTCCCTGTGCATGTGTGGGTATCCTCTGAGTACCTGCCCCTTCTATGGTCTAAAGGTATTCTCATTAGGTTAACTGGTCCGTCTTTATGACCCTGTCCAGGGTGTACCCTACTTCCAACTAGAATTGATTACAGTCCCTGTGAGATCATGAATAGGTGAAGCAGTATGGATGATAGATGGATGGAGATAACCTTGACAAAGAATAGTAACATTTTACATGCTGAGTTTTTGCAGTCAGTCACAGGGGGCATGTTTCTGCAGAATGAGGCATTTAACTTTGTATACTTCATTTGCATCTTGCTGATATCAGGTTGTATGTACTGGTTAAATTTTTGAATGAAGGACTTATTCCAGCCAAGAGTTAGGTTTCAATATCTAAAAACACAGCAGCCTAATGATTAATATCAATATCCATCAAATGATGCTTGAGTTACATTCAACCTACTTTTCAACCACCCTCTGTTTCAACAAACATCGTCGACATGGGAAAACCAAAACCACCCAGTACTCAACATTTATCTTTGTTGTAAGTTTGGTGCATAAATATTAGCTTAAATGTGGGTTAACAGCTTATCATTTTCATCCCTCCTCTCTCTTTTAATCAGTGAGCGGTCCTGTGTTTTAGAGTCTACCTGCGCACTTGTGGGGGCAGCTCTTTGACTGAACTCTGAGGGAGGCTTGTTTTCACTGAGGCTAATACACATCAGACTCTGAAGACGCTCTGTACTAAAACAGGCTCCCTCTCCCCGTCTCTCTCTCTTTGCTCTGACACCGCAAGTACCCTAGAGGGGGGAATGGGCTGCCTAAACTCCCCAGTTTCCATCATTGCTTCCCAAAACATCCATGAAATGTGTCCAGCTGAAAGACTCCCTTTCACCCTGAGTCACCCGCTCTCTTCTTTCTAAAAACCCCGCAGCCCCTCGACCTGCACAGTTTCACTCCTTAAAGGAAAACAGAAAAAGTGTACAGGTCGACAGTTTTTCAGTTCTGAGGTTACTTGCATTCTGCACGTACACAGAGCCACAAAGTGACCTCCCACAAGTTTCGCTCCCCTATACCACAAGAAACCCAAAACTCTGTCTCCTCTGCTGGAGGTTTGACATGCAAACTGCAGTCAGTGTTTTGGGAGATGTGACACAGTGAGGTGGAATTACTTGGATGCAGACAGATGCAACACTCCAGAAAATCTCCCCCTCTGTCCACCACCATCATCTCCTGAAACACAGCGGAACATTGTGTCAGAGCATTGGCGGGAAGGGGGCCTCATGTTCTTATTCAGCAATTCTTTCCTATAACACCAAAACACTGACCACAAGTGCAGACAAAATCCAAAATCATGCCGATAAAAAATACGACTGCAATTTCGCGTGCTCTTCCTTTTGACCCCAAACATCAAACATGATCATCAATCATTTTGTTGCAATAAAATTGAAATTAAAAATCCCAGCAGACATTTTTCTTTGCGTAACAAAAACAAACAGGGAGGGAGGGAGGGAGGAGAAGAAGCTCATGAAAAGTGGCTATGAATCAACTTTTCTAACCCAGAGAACATGTTGGACAGACAAGGATGACATTCTCAACAAAAAAAGGCATAAAGTCATTTCCAGCTGCAGGTCAATGAAGGATAAACTTTCTCTTTTAAATAATCCCAATCTTTGATTCTCCTTGCCTGAAAATGACTTAATTGTGTCCAAAATAGATTTTCAAGAGTTGTAATTTGTATTTGGCTGCTGTGTAATATATTCCAGAGTTTTTTGAGTGATGTTCCGTTTGTAAGTTTAACAAATGTTTCCCCTCCTTTGAAGCCCCCTGTGGAATTATGTCATAGACATAAACACTGAGCAGAAGCTATAAAAATGTTCCAGTTGACATTATAATCAAGCCATGCCACTTTTAAAGTTTGGTATCCTGCTATAAACTCTGACTTTCAACACATCACTGACATGCAACACTTACTGACCCTTCATTTCATGTTTTGGACCACAACCTCATGCAAACATCATGGAGACACGTGTAGTGACCCCTTTCAATACACATTTACCCAGCTCATAATTACAGGATGTGACAGTTAATGATTGTTGTTTGGTCCGAGCTGGGATTTTGTTTTGGAGCGCTGGTAAGGAACAGAGTTTTAATATAAAAAAAAGTCAGGTACAGTTCCAATCACCACATTTCTTTCCTATAACAAACAACTCTTTTCAGAGAAACGCAGGAGGAAGTGATCCGTGGTGGTCAGTATGAGAACATGGTGAGCATGTGGTTTTGGTTCATGGACGGGAGTTCACTATATTAAGTGGTCATTTGTGTTTGATATGGAAACTAAGAAACCTGTCTCCTGTGATTTCTGTTAAGCAGCAGCACGAACTGCCAATTCAGGAGGCGCTGTAAAATGAGATGTGTATGATGTGGAGGTTGTGATGTTGGAGAAGATTGCACCTTTTTTCCACTAGCCTGCCAACATCCGTCTCTCCAACATGCTGATCAGTCAAAAGCAGTATTACTAACTTTCTGCCAAGCAGAAGCTTTGTTACAAATTTGAGTACATGATCATTTCAAA